TCATACCTTCCAAGTGTCGTGTGACGTTATCCGTCAAACCCGCGCCAAGATTGAAAGATAGTAATTCGAAAAACTAGCCGGTCTAACAGGTCGGTTCGGAGGGTGTGGACGCTCTGTTTTCCTAGGCACAGATCTATACCCTGTACCCGGCATGCCTATAGGTCCGGTACATTCAATATGTAGTCACTCCCTGTCCCCGAATTAATTACGTACGCATCCGGCTTGCCTAGTGGTCCGGTGCATCCTCAAAACAAAATAAAATATCCAAGTGGTTTTTTTCCCATACCGTAATGACTACCAGATGGAAGGTCTTAACTAACTACTCTACCGTAACACACGTGGTCGACTCAGAACCATCCAGAAAACCAGACCGCCGAAGTAAAGCCGAAATAGAAATAGACGAACAACGCAAACGAACGGGGCGAAAATGAAAATGAAAAATCGCCTGCCAGGGTGAAAAACAAAAATAAAAAATAAAACATAAAAAATACAATAAAATATGGACCGAAAACGAGCTCCAACCCGCTTGGTTTCGTGTCAGCTCCAAAATGCCCCCCCCCCCCCCGGCCTACAACCGTGAAGCATGTCGGTGCCATCCTGGTGCCCCCCTCTCTCTCTCCTGAAAATAGAAGGAAAGCAGTCGCAGCAGCTTGAACAGGAGTCGGTCATCCGCAGCCTTGGCCAAACTGGCCAGGGCACAGAGAGAGAGACCTCCGGGGGGTAGCCCCGGAGGTCGGCTTCAAAAATAGCTGAAGTAATTGCTCCCTTAACAAGTGGTTTGCTTGTGGTCTGATTCCACAGTCTGCTGATGGTGGCTGTCAGTACCACCTTCTTGACGCTTTTCCCGGAGTAGGAAGAAAAATCCTGCATAGTTTGGAACACATGTTGATAGTTTTCCGCCAGGCAGTCTGTGTTCTTCGTATGTGGGACGTAGTGCAAGCGGAGGGGCTCGTTACAGATGAACATCGTCCCTCCCACAAAAGACCACGTGAGTCCTAAGTCATCTTTGCGGATAACTTCCAAATGGGAGTCGTAGATGCCCTCAAACCTGTCGAATAGGTTCGCTGGATATCCATCATCCCGAATAGTGTCGGCAATGCCGGCTATGACCGATATGTCATCCATGATACGCCATGCACAAACCAAACGTCGGTCGGAGCCCAAGCTGTTAAGGAAACGCAGCTCCGCCATTGCACACGTAATGGATACTAGGACCGGGCTCGTGGATTTCCCCATCGGGATTCCAAAAACCTGTCTCAGGATCTTGTTCCCGCATCTCACGGCTGAGTGTTCCAAGTCAAACCGGACTCCCTTCAATAGATCCTGGAACTTTGCTATGACGTAGCCTTCACTCTTCCTCTTACACTTGCTGGTAACGCAAGCTCTGGCCCTATAGGAGATCTTCACCATTTTCCAACCGGCGTCTTCAAATCTGACCAGGAGTTGCTCCACCGCCTGCAGAACTGCTCCATGCGATATCCGGGAGAACATCTCCTTGATATCATAGCATCTACCCACCGCCTTTGAACAACCCAGACTTCTGAGCCTATGAGTGACGGCCTGCATTCGCTCCCCCAGATCAGACACCGAGTTCAGGTAAAACGAAGAATGTGCCGGAAGTCGAGTGAGCAGGTAGTGAAGCGCTTTCGCCACCCTCTTCTGTGCGACTCCAGCAGGATCTGAAGGTGCGGGTGCAATCGGTCTCCACTTCTCCAGATCCTTATGCTTGGGGATCACATAAGCTGATCCCAGTCTGCCGTCAGGACGCCAAGGTCCCAATTCCTGCAGTCCGGCCGCCTTGAAGTCTTCCCGACATTTGGCCAGATACCCCATCTCGGTGTCGACAGGTCCGATCTTCTCGTAGTTCGTGTTCCAAATGAACGTCCTCCCGAATGCGTGTCTGTAGATCATCGGGCAGACAACTGCCGTGTCCCCTTGGTTTCGGTCGACAGGGGTTAATACCAATCCGTCGAACTTCATACTCCACTCCCTCACTTCATCGTCCGTCCAAGCGAGGGCCTGATGCCTTCTTCTGTCGAGTGTCTCCAAAGGCATATGCAGGTCTGTGGTGTGGCCTTTCGGGTGCTTCGTAGCGTCCAAGACCGCTTGGAGGATCACTCGGGGATGCGCAACCTGCCCATGCCTCGTAATGTTCCTGGAGTTGCGCAGGAACACGGGGACGTCCGGTAACGCTGAGAATCTCGTAACCACGTGCCCGTCGCACTTGGGTAGATTGCGTGTCCGACAGCTGCAGCCACGGTCTTCGTCCGAAGCAAATCTCTTATGATTATGGATAAGTTCACCCACAGTCCCGCTACGAGTCCAAACAATGCGTACCCTGGTTTTCAGAAAGCCGTCCACCGCCTTATCCTCCACCTTCTTCTCGATCACCTCCTCTACAGTCCTTCGTACAGCATTCCTCCTGATGCGTGAATCGTACTGCAGCTTTACGTAGATCTTCTTCCTCACACTGATACCGATTTTCATCCTAACCGCCCTGTCGATCTTCATCTGAAGCAGCGATTATGAGAGAACCAGCCGGCTGCTCTGTAGAGGCCCACAAACTTATTGGAGGTTAGATTAGCTAGCTGAGAGACCGGTCTGGGTCTCCGTAGTAGACCTACCAGGAACAGTTTGTTCTTCTCGATGGTCGTTTTCGTCTTCACAATGCTAACAAAACTCGTCGTCGCACCTGATTGTAACACTAACTTAATTCCCTGAGAGAACGTAGTGCGCCCCCTACCCTCAACTGCGAATCTCCATATACCCTGACCAGGCGTTTCCAACCATCTACCCATACTTCACCGCGAGTAAGTGTCAGCTCGCTGCGTGCCCCTACCTCCACGTTGTTATTCCTGAGCCAGGTAAGCAGAGATCTGAACCGGGAGCCCTGGTACAGAAACGTGACAGTCTTAGCAACGTTCGCCCTCCGAGCTCTGCCTATCCTCTCCCTCAGTCCTTTTCTGCCTTTGCTCCGCTTACCTCTTGCCTGCCAGTTAGTATCCCGAGTGTTGAGACTCGGGCAGAAATCTGTGATCAGAAATTTCTCAAAAGCAAGATCGTCTTCTTTACCCGTATGTCTAATCGGAAGTATCACATATCTATCCGTACCGAATGCCCACATCCATCTGTATAGATGTGGGGTCAAACCCAGGGCGTTGCAGCGTGCATTCCTGCAGTGTTCTGTCCATCTTTGGATAATCGTTCTAACTGTGTAACCGACATATGCCTTGCTCGTCCAATGACTTACTACCGCATATACGCCTGCCGAATCGAGATCAAGTTCTCCTTCGGCAGCCTCGATCCTCATGACATACTTCTCAAGCCATGGTATCAGGCCTCTGCAGGTCAGAAGTAGCGTGGTCGTAGTGATCACGCTTTCGACTTTCTTGGAAATGTCACTGCCCGCGTTGAGCTCCCGCAACGTCTCTCGAGACTTCAGCCATCTGGCCAGAGTTTCCCAAAGCTCGGCGTTTGAGGGAGCTCGACACCGTCAGTTCGAGTCCTCAGCAGGTTGTGTGGGAGCAGAACGAAGGATGATGCGTCGTTGGCGTGTGGTGGTTTGCTCGTGTACTATCTTGTCTTTTTTAACTTCAGCCTTCGGAGTCTCGCAAGCTGGTGCCTTACCATTCTTCACCGCGCTTCCTTCTTCTCCTTTCTCATCGAACCCTTCATATGCGAGTTCGACCTGCTGCCTTATAAGGAGCTCGACTACTTCCGGTTTCTTAATGTATTCAATGTCCTTCTTGTCGTATATCTTCCAAAGGGCTGGTGCGTTTTTCTCTGAGTAGATCTTGTGCGCCGAGATGCAGTACTCGACAAGGCCTTTCTGCGAACAGCTAGCCGAAAGCCCCTTGAAACCACCAGTAAGCGGAGTCCTAGGATCCTCGTTGCGCTGACCGCCCTCAGTCTTCCGAGGCTGTTCCTCATGATTCGAGTCTCGTAGCGTAGCGGCTCCATGCTTCGAGCACTCCCCTCGCTCGAACCCCAGAGTGAGATTGACTGAAGACACCGCATTCCTTCCCTTCGGCTTCGCGGTTCTGGCCTTCGTCCCCCTCCTCTTCCTGTCCTTTCCTCCGTGCTTCTTCCCCTTCACGACTAGGTTACCGGAGTCGAAAGTGCTATCCGAACTGTCGTTAGATGTACTCGACTCCGAAGAAGAAGAAGAAGAAGAAGAAGAGGAAGGGCTGGAATCCGAGTGTTTTTTCCATCTTGATTTCTTGCTCTTCCGCCGGCTTTTCTTCGTGTTCCGGTTCTTCCCCTTCGCAGGTCTTCCTAATCCAAGATTCTTCACAACCTCCTCTGCCTCTAGATTCTTCTTCTTCCATTCTTCGTTCAGGTCCATTCATAGTTGCAGTTTGAGCTCCTCCATTTTCCTAGCGAAGTCTTGGTTTCTACGAACCTCCTCTTCCTCCCTTGCCTTCCGCTCTTCCTCTGCCTTACGCCGCTCCTCTTGCTCCTGTTTCTCCCTGCGCAGCATCCTGTGATGCTCCTTAATCTCTTCTAGTTCGGGGTCTACCTAAGCTTGGCTCTGCTGATATGGTCGGCCTCTCCTCGCCCAGCAGTCCCTGGCATAGTGCCCCACCTTCCCGCAGTTATAGCATGCGTTCGGTGGTGCGTTGGCGCCGCTGCCCCCGTTGCCCGCTCCATATCCCCCCGTATTCATCTGATTACCTTGCGGGATCAAAGCTCCACCGCCACCGCTATTACTGCCTCCTCCGTAACTACCCCCGTTGCCCCCTCTAGCCCCGTTGGCCAAAATCATATTGGCTGTATTTGCCCAGACCGTACACTAGAAATGAGGGAAAGAAAAGGGACAGAAGCGAAAAAGGGAGCGGCCGAAATAGCGAAGGTCGACTGTAGTCTCCGCTAAGTCAGAGATCGCCAAGCGTTCAGCATCGTAAAAGCGAGAGAAGAGTGTGTCCTACTGCCTCCAAATCTCGAAAAACTCCTCGTAATTCAGATCTCCTCTCTGTCGTATTCTAAGAATCGTCCTTTCGATCAAGATCAGCATGTGCAGCAGCTGCTCATAGATCCTATCTCGAATAGTTACGTTCTCCACGTATCTTGTCATGTAGAACATAGGCCTAAGTGTAGCACGAACATAACTATTCAGACATCGGATCAGACGAGTCCTAATCGGTATATAGTGTGTTCTTACAACTACACGTCTTTGCCTACAGGTCAAACAACGGGTGGGACCACGGCCCGTCATACTAGTGCGTGGTATCACCAGGCAATGCCGATCACGATCAGTCCAAGCCCCACGACCATAAGTCCCAGACCGAAGAATAGCACTTTCGCCGTATGTCGCAGATTCAAAATCTCGACCTCCCAGGATACTGAGTCAAACTAGCTGCTCGGCCACCGCCCTGAATCGCTCCCGCCGTCGTGTGTATCTCCCGCTCGCCACTCACCAACCACTTTGCGCTTGTGAAGGTCAGTCGTTGAGCATGGTACTTGTGAAGAGTACTTGTGCAGAGTATTTGTGTAGAGCACTTGTGCAGAGTACATGTGCAGAGCACTTGTAAGTGTGCATATGCATGTGCCTGTGCATGTGCATGTGCCCGTGCATGTGCCTGTGCATGTGCCTGTCGACGTAGTCACCACCTAGCAGATGCGGCTACTGGTTCCTACGYRCCCTCGAGTAGGCGGACTGCGGCTCACAGCCCCTGCAGCGAGACAAACAGAGCTATGGCCCTGAGGACTGTAAAACAAATTGCAGAACAATMCGTTTCAAACAGAAAAMAGAACCCAACTTCCATCBTCAACGCCACCATAGCTAAAACACCTCAGCACTAGTGGTGCCCCTCGACCGGTTTCGCCCGTGCCACTTYACGAGACTCGTCAGGAGGGTAAACTCRACACGAGTTCATGTGCYGAAAGAGGGAGCTAGAGCCTTGCTCCCTCGCATAAGTAGTGATCCTAGCAGCCTCATACCTTCCAAGTGTCGTGTGACGTTATCCGTCAAACCCGCGCCAAGATTGAAAGATAGTAATTCGAAAAACTAGCCGGTCTAACAGGTCGGTCCCGAGGGTGTGGACGCTCTGTGTTTTCCTAGGCGCAGATCTATACCCTCTACCTGGCATGCCTATAGGTCTGGTACATTCAATATGTAGTCACTCCCAGTCCTCGAATTAATTACGTATGCATCCGGCTTGCCTAGTGGTCCGGTGCATCCTCAAAACAAAATAAAATATCCAAAAGGTTTTTTTCCCATACCGTAATGACTACCAGATGGAAGGTCTTAACTAACTACTCTACCGTACCACACGTGGTCGACTCAGAACCATCCAGAAAACCAGACCGTCGAAGTAAAGCAGAAATAGAAATAGACGAACAACGCAAACGAAAGGGGCGAAAACGAAAATGGAAAATCGCCCGCCGGAGTGAAAAACAAAAATAAAAAATAAAACATAAAAAATATAATAAAATATGGATCGAAAACGAGCTCCAACCCGCTTGGCTTCGAGTCAGCTCCAAAATGGCCCCCCCCCCAGGCCTACAACCGTGAAGTCTATCGGTGTCATCTTGGTGCCCCCCTCTCTCTCTCTCCCGGAAACAGAAGGAAAATAGTCGCATCAGCTTGAACAGGAGTCGGTCATCCGCAGCCTTGGACAAACTGGCCAGGGCACCGAGAGAGAGAGAGAGAGAGAGAGAGAGAGAGAGAGAGAGAGAGAGAGAGAGAAAGAGAGAGAGAGAGAGAGAGGGAGAGAGAGAGGGAGAGAGAGAGAGAGAGAGAAAGAGAGTGAGAGAGAGAGAGAGAGAGCTAGAGAGAGAGAGAATCAATCAATCAATCTATTCGTTGATATCGATGAATCAAGTCGTTGAAGATCCGTCTGTATCGATGGATCTTGAACGAGTTGATCCGTCGACATGGACGGATGAATCCATCCCTCGATATCGACAGATCTTCAAGGAGTTGATCCATCGATATCGACAGATCGATTGATTGATTGATTGATGGATTGATGGATAGATTGATTGATTGATTGATTGATTATTCGATCGATTGGTTGACCCTCCATGTCGATCCTCTGCAGATACGGGTACGTTGGGGATTAATCAATCAATCAATTAAGACATTTTTGATTGATTGATTGATCGATTGACTGACTGATTGAGTAGAATTTCGTTAATTTCTGATTTTTTTTCGTTTTGGAATTAGGTTCTTTTCGTTTTGGCCCACGCAGTTTCTTTTCAAAATATTTTGCGCTAACGTGAGTATTCAGGTACATTGCTCAAACGGATGAACTGCGTTGACGTGGCGCGTTACTTGATTGATTGATTGACAGTGCAATCAATCAATTGACCAATCAATCGGTGAAGATACACACACACACACACACACGAATTTAATCAATCCCGCACGTACGTGCGGCCTCAGCAGTGTGCGACGTGGGCAATGAGGGCTCACCGAATGGTCTGCTATGGTGAGGGCGTACTTGCCACGTGGCGGCACGTGCCGCATTTGCCACGTGTCGCACCATCGATCAATCAATCAATAARCCAATCAAGCAATCAAGCAATCGATCAATCAATCAATAAACCAATCGATTGACTAATCGATTGATTGATTAGTTGATTGATTGATTGATTGCTTGATTCCCGAGCTGGCCGCTCACCCTTTCTCTTTATCTAGCAGCAGTCTCTCTCTTTCTTATCCTCTTTCTCTCTCTTTCTTATCCTCTTTCTTTTTATTGATTGATTGATTGCCACATGCCGCACCATCCCGAACCTCACACACACACATGATTGATTGATTGGTTGCCTCCCGTGCACACACACACATTCACACACACACACACACACACACACACACACACACACACACACACACACACACGGAGTTACTGATTGATTGATTGGTTGCCAGGGGGGTCGCCTCCCGTGCGCCTCCCCCCCTTTTACTGATTGATTGATTGATTGATTGATTGATTCATAGAGAGAGAGAGAGAGAGAGAGAGAGAGAGAGAGAGAGAGAGAGAGAGAGA